ACCTGAGGAAAAATAAATATACATAATTTTATATGTGTGTGTCTTAGTCAGCTGTGTGCTGCTGTGATCAAAAGACCTGACAAGAACAAGTTAGAAGAGGAAAAGTTTATTTTGGGCTCATAATTTCAGACATTCAGTGCATCGTCAACCTAGTCCATTACTCTAGGCCTGAGGTGAGGCAGAACATTATGGTGGAAGGATTTGGCAGAGGAAAGTTGTTCACCTCACATTAGAGGAGAAGCAGACAGAGAGGGAGGAGTAAGAGACAAAATATATTTCCCAAGGGCTTTCCCTAGTGATCTGCTTCCTTTAGAGGTACCCCACCTACTTAGAATTACCATCCAATAATCTATTTAAATTATTAGTCTTTCAAATGGATTAATCTACTGATTAGGTTATGACTTTCATCATCTAATCATTTCATCTTTGGAAATTCCTTCTTTGTTACATGAGCTTTCTGTAGGATATCTCTAATTCAAATCATAAGAATATATGTGTGTGTGTGTGTGTGTGTGTGTGTGTGTAAATTTTAAAATTGGAAGCTGAAGTATTATTTTAGTACCTTGGTCTAAAATGGTTTTATGGTATGACAAACAACAGGTTCTTGATTAAAATAGCTTTACAATATGGTTTAAGAGTTTCTTAAATATGATTGTTGCATCATCAGAATGTCTGGTAGGATAACCCTAACAATCTGATCTTCAGTGTCAACTGTGAACATTTGTGATGTGTTTGGTTTGGTTTTTCTATAAAACAACATCACAACTATATGTGTGTGTGTGTGTGTGTGTATTTTTTTTTGTTAGGGATGGAACCCAAGGCCTTGCTCATGCTGAGCAAGCATTCTACCACTAACCTGTACCTCCAGCCCAATCCTTCAGCTTCTCTAAAAAACACAACCTTAAGTATGTTTCTACCTATGAAAGAATAACTAAATTTTAAAGTTGAGATAATTTTTTAGAATCATTCTCATGTTTTTTGAGTGTCTATTATACAGAGAAATAAATTTGTTTTGGCATAAATACAGTATTTTCTTTTATCTTATGTTCATTCTTATATGCTTATACTCAGCTTTTTTTTTCTCCTAGGTGATAGTTTTTTTTCACAATTGTTTATCATCTCATCTTTTAAAAAATTTCTATGAATAATTCTTGTAGCTTTGAAGCATTTCAAGATTTAGTTGTTCTTAAGACATTATTTCAAATTATTGATAAGAATAATATTCAGTTAGTGAAACTGCATATTTTATAATGATGGCAGAGAAACAAAATAACGTCTGATCCTACCGACTTTTGCTCCAGGATGCTTAATATAAAACAAGAACATTTCATATTGAAAATAGCAATGAGTGGAGATCTCTGGGGGTATCTGAGACCTCATCTTGTGGGGATGTAACTTTGCTGGAAGATGCAGGAGTTCAGGAACCAGTGCACAGGTACAGAGATGCTCCTGTCCCAGGGCCTCACAGGAGGTGGGCAACTTGTTTTGACCACATGATTTCAGAGGTGACCTCAGGAATCAATTGGAACAGCTGATTCTAAGGCCTCACAGTTAGGATTATAAAGAAAATGATCATTTTTTAAAAAGTATCAAATTGTTCTTCCCAAAAAAAGACTATACTGTAAAAGTTACTACTACTACTACTACTACTACTTTTTAAAATTTATCATCATCATCATCATCATCATCGGTACTAGGGATTGAACCCAGGGGCACTTTATCACTGAGCCACATCCCTATCCCCTTTTTAAATTTTTTATTTAGAGACAGAGTTGCTAAGTTGCTGAGGCTGGCTTTGAACTCATGATCCTCCTGCCTCAGCCTGCCAAATTGCTGGGATAATAGGCATGCACTGCTGGGCTTAGCCTTTTCTTTTTTCTTTTTAATACTAAGCCTTGTATGCTTATTTTGGGAAATGAATAAATGAATGAATGTGTGGTTTGGCCCTGTGAATGCTCCCCCTCTTGTTATGAAAGAACTCCTGGAATATCTCTATCAACTCAGCTGGTGTCTGCTGGCCTCAGCAACCTACAGGCCCAGAGAGAAACCCAATTGCATGGGGCCCTTCTGGAGGCCTCGCCATGAGGGCTCAGATTCCAGGCACAGCTTCAAAGACTAAATCACAATGTGAAAGTTGAAGTCTTTGTAGGACTTACAGACTCCTTAGGGGGAGTGTACAATACACCTGGAGGCCATACACTGAGAGAAAGAGTGGGTACCTATGGGCCAATACATAGCATAGCAGAGAGGAACAGGGGGTACCTATGGGCCAATACATAGCACAGCAGGGAGGAAGAGGGGGTACCTATGGGCCAATACATTTATTGGCTGAGGGTGTGATCCAGACAGGTACCCCAGGGGAACTTTCACTGGTGGATTGAAGTAACCAGGCAGTAGTTCCAAGGAAGTCACACTGTGACTGAGAAGGGGTCACCTGAAGCTCCTGAGCAAGCTTTAAATAGTCCTTTTAAGGGAAGAAGCTAGAAAGTAGCCTCTGAGTGGTTATCTCTGGCCAAGAGCTAAAGCCATCAGGTTCCCTTATAATATTGAAAACTATGTTGGGGTGACATCCAATAAGCAGTTACTTCTAGTGTGAAAATTAAACTTCTGTTTAACGCTACATAAAATTATAAGCACTCACTACCTGAGGAAACTGTCCTCACAGGATCATTTGTACAGTCTTAATATGTGATGACTTGTTTCACCATAAAGAAAATAAACATCCCATCTGATTCAAATGTATGATATGTCAAGATCATTGTACTGTCATGTGTTACTAATTAAAACAAATTAAAAAAAGAAAAGAAACAACGCAAATGCTTTTCATCCTTACAGCAACCCTGTTAGTTGTGTGATCTTATTGTCTCCATTGTACAGATGTGAAAGCTGAGACTGAGGCTGAGGTATATCCCAAGATCAGACAACTAACAGGGACATGTTCCCCTACCTGTGCCCTGTGTGATCTGCTTCTAGAATCTGCTTGGTCCTCAATAAGCAAAGGATGGTGGGGGGAGGGGCACCACAGTGATGAGAAGAAGAAACCTGAGCTGAGAGGACTGAAAGGGGAGCCATGGGCCATGACTGTCAAAGGACATCATAAAGGAAGGCCTGCTGTTGAAGGGAGCAGGCCTCTCATATTAAGCAGTTCATGGATTAATCCTTACTTGCCCCCAACCATAGTGTGACTTCTACTGGAGGGACTACTTTGTATACAGTAGGAATGACTCTGGCTGGACTGCTGAACTTGTTATACTAGAGAAATTGCAATGATAACACTCCAGGTAGCAAAGCCTGCCTATAACCTTCCAGAATTCTTTGAAATGCCTATAATGCCCCATTAACATAATGCTCCAATAACATCCCAACCACTTTGGGACTTCTTAACCATTTTTTTTTGTGCATGAACAAATCTATTCTGCTGTTTGCTGAAGCCTATGAGTACCTTCTCTGAGTAATGCTTGTAAATGCTGAACATTTGCAACTGGCATTACAGAGAAAAGCAATTATTGAAGTGCAGTAATGAGTGTGCTAGAAATTTTAATATGATAGGAATTCTTGATTATTAATTAGCATGTAAAATAACAAAATCTGGTGGTGAGCTTAATAACTACTGATATTTTGAAGAGATGAGAGATGCAAACAGTTTCCAACCACACAGTGATTGCTATAAAAATATCTGTAATTAATGTTGGTGACAAATGAACAGGACATGTTGAACTTGTGTGGCCTGTTTGTCTACTTCCATGATTGAAGCAAATGTTTAGTTTAGTTAGAGGTTAGTGAAAATAAAGGTGTAATTGTTTTCTACTAATGTTTGCAGAACCCCTAAATGGTGTCTGTTCCCTATGTTAAGAACCCTGAGCCATGTGGGGCACTCCTTCAAGTAAGTCCTATGAACAACCTCATGGGCTTTTGATTGGGCTTCTAATGAAGCTTTAGCTCAAGTTAGGGAAAATGATACCTTAAAAATATGGAGCCTTCCTGCTTGTGGTTCTTGTAGACTGCATTTATGTAGGCTTTTTTTTTTTCCTGTTTTTCAATACAGTGTTTATAATGATCCCCATAAACACTTGCATCATTTTGTAGGATGCATTCTTAGAAATCAGTATATTTTGTTACCATTTGATATTCTCTCTTATTTTTTCCTATTTTTTTTGTAATATGGCTAGTGTTTAGATAGAGCATTAGTTTTTGAATATTGAACTAATAACTAAACAACCTTTTTTGGATTTATCTACCATGGAGTCACATCATTGGAAAGTGCTGATAGTTGCTTTTTCTTCTTTCCAGTTTATATGCTTTTCTTTTTAAAATTTTCTTCTGTTTACTGATAGGACTTCAGTATAATGATAACAGAAGCAGTGTTGTCTATGAGTCTTCTTCCTGATTTTAAAGGAAATTCTTCTAATATGTCCCAATTGAGTCATGTGCTGGTACCAATTTTCAGTAGTTGGCAAGAACCAACCATTAATTTTTCATGAATTTTGCAAGCCAGTTTTAAAATGTCATCATTATTTAAAATTAAATTATGTAAATGTGAAAAATAAGCCAATCATCATATTAAAATACAGGTAATCAATTATCAGAACTTACCCCTTACTGCCTTTTTTGTGGTGTCTTGCTATGACCCCTGCTCTTCAGGCTGTTTACATGCCTTCTGTGTTCATGGTGGAAATGCTATGTGGCTTGTGTATGCATGCCTTCCCAACCCCAGGTTCAATAACTTCACACTAAGGGCTTTGAATTGGCCTTGTTGAGAATAGTTACACCATGGACAATGACAAAGGCTGAAACTAGGGGTTTTATTTTCCTTATCAGCCTGTTGTTAAATATAGGCTAATGCACTTATGACCAAGACTGGTGCAAGTTCTAGCCTCTTAAAAAAAAAAAGAAAGGAGAGAGGGAAAGAAGAGGAGAAAGGACATCTTCTCCCAATGTGATAACCTGCATGTATTGTTTTTTCTGCAGACAACTGTGATGCTCCACTGGCCTCTGCCTTGCCGCGAGTATCCTTCAGTAGCTCCTCAGAGCTGTCCAGTAGCCATGGCCCTGGCTTTGCAAGTCTAAATCGGAGAGATGGTGAGTCGGCTGCTGTCTTTGCTCCTTCCTCAGAGAGAGCTTTCATCCTTAGTTATTTTCCATTCTTGTAGCTCAAAAATTAATATTTGCATTTTATCGAATTTGAAGAAATTGGATTTTTTCATGTTATTTTCTATTTGCTTTCTTTTTATTATAAATTTATAAATTATGAATCTATTTTTTGTTTTAATAGTTTTCTTCCTTATTGGTTGCCAGTAAGTGCTCATAAAGGAAATTAATCAGAAGGGAATTACTGGGGCTACTCATTATTTCCAATGATTTCTTTTTAGTTTTAGAACAGGCTATATAAAGTTACTCATCTAGTAAGCTGATGATGAAAAACTCAAATATATAAATAAGTAAATGAGCCCATGTTAGAGTCACTGGGGGAAGTCAACAGGTACCAGGGCTGCTGATGGGCAATGACCACTATCCTGGGACATCACATGGGAGAAGGCCAGGGGTAGGCTCTGCTGATAGTAGGGATTTTCTTCCTGTGCAGTGTGAAGGAAGCAGCAGGCTTGCTTTTTGGAGATGTCTTATTCTATCATAAGAATAGAATCTCCAATGTCATTGAGTAAATTACCTTTTCTGTTGCATGAAGAGTAGTTCAGAGGATTAAATCAGTGAATACAATAAAAAGTTAAGTGCTCTACAACCTTCTAAAGAGGTAGAGTGATTTTTCTGTGAGAGTGAGCTAATTAATTCAGGAAGTACAGCTTAAAATGAGCTCTGCCCTCTGTAAGTACAACCTTGTAAATCTTGGTGATGTAGACTTAGAGTTGAGTATTTGCTCCTTATAAGTAATATTTCAAGATCTGGGTTTTAAGTATAGCTTGAGTTTCTTTATCCCTTAAAAATGAAGCATGGTACTTAGTTATCAGATACATTGATAGGAAAGAATTGATACAAGAGGAAAACCCAGAGAGTGAGGGTTGGAGACCATGCCCATGATTGTTCACTCGCATTTTTAAAAAATATAGTTTTAGTAGTATATGGACACAATACCTGTATTTATTTATCTTTATGTGGTGCTGAGGATTGAACACAGTGCTTCACATGTGCTAGGCAAGTGCTCTACCACTGAACCACAATCCCAGCCCCTCATTTTTTTTTTTTAACCGTGGAGAATCATTCTGTGGCCTGAACATTAGATTTCAAATATTTTCTAGCATGACAGTAAAAATATATTTTCATTGCAACCAGATTTCACCCGTTTATATTATCAAATTACCATTTTTGGCCTGGCGGTTACTCTAATATCAGGTTAGCATCTAAACTTTTCAGTGGTTTCAAGGATTATAATAACCAAATAAACACTCAATTTAATTATTTTAAAGAAGCTCAGTGGGCTTGCATGTTGTGTTTCTGATCTGCAGAGACACAAACCTGTTATGATTTAGGCTCCACTACTGTGGATACTGTGAAGGTTATAAACATACAGAGGGATAAATCTCCAAGTTTAGGATCCAGTTAATTCCATTATATTTTATTTAAAAAGTTAACAGCTCAGAATTATGAAATGATAGTACAAAATTCATCTTATATATTCAGACTACTTTTATTGGATATTTAAATTAATTTTTTTGTTTGAGAGTAGCAATCAGCCAACGAGGTTTAGTGTTTATGGTTGCTATTCTGATTGCATATAATGTGTTTCAATAAATATTCCTTGATATTGCTACCAGACTTCATACTCATTCCTGAAGTGTGATTTACAAAGCTCAATATATCAATATTTCCTCTGAAGGATTATCTTTGTGTGTTTTCTGTTTTTCTTGTGCATTTTATTTATTTATGTATTCATGTTGTTTTCTATTGACTTATGAAAATATGTAATAAAGTATTTCTTAGCAACACTTTTGTGACAAATAATGGAAAGGGATCTTATGAACAGTACTGAGAAGGCTGAGTAGAGAAGTCTGGGCAGGTTCAGGTGTTTCTAGGGATCACAGCAGAGAGGCAGCTCCCAAAGGGCTGAGCATCATGGCCAATCATCCTGTGGCCACATTTGAGTCAGTGATTTTTATGAGTTTCCTACTGGCAGAGCAAATTATTGTAGAGATAGTAATGGATTAGTATTATCATTCAACAAAGAATTAAATATTCTTAAGAGTTTATTTACTTTTTATTTGCTATTTTTAGTTATACATGACAATAGAATATATTTTGACATATTATACATAACATGAACTACATTTTCCCGTTCTTTTGGTTGTACCTGATGTGGAATTACAATGATTGTGTATTCATATATGAAAATAAGAAAGTTATATCTGATTCATTCTACTGTTTTTTTTTCCATTCCCATTCTACCCTCTTCCCTTCATTACCCTTGTTTAATCCAAAGTACTTCTATTCTTCCCTACCCTCCTCCCCCCTTATCGTGAGTTAGCATCTGCATATCAGAAAGAACATTCAGACTTTGGTTTTAGGGGATTGGCTTATTTCACTTAGCATGATAGTCTCCAGTTCCATCCATTTACTGGAAAATGCCATAATTTTATTCTTGTTTATGGCTGAGTAATATTCCATTGTGTATATATACCATTTTTTAGAGGTTAGTTTTAAAATCTCTGCTCATAGTAATTCTTCTGGAATTCCCATTTAAAGCCTGAGCATGGGTTCCAGGTATACATTTAACTGAGTGACCCTGACATAATATTCTTTAGCTTTTTATACCAAGAAACATAAACTGTTGAAAAGTTAATAACTCAAAATGCCTGCCCTAAAGTTTTTAAAATTGATAGATTTTAAGAAATAAAACTTATACCTAATTAAGAAAATTAATGTCATTGGATATGGATATAAATTTATTTAAAAAATGGATTTGATTGTTCACTTCATTGCCATCAAAATTAAACTAAAATTAAGAGTTAATATGTCTCATGTAAAAGCAGATTGCTGAAATCTGCATTCTAAATATAATATTAATTTTCACTTTTTCCTTCTCAAAAAACTCCTAAGAAACTTTGTACTCCAAATTTATCCAGAAGTTAAAAATAAATAATAAGCACCCGGAAAACTATCTCCAAAAGTAGCCACATGAGCCTTTCATTTCACATTTTGCTTGTGCAGAGTCTCTAGGGTCTCTGTGATTCCAAATGCTGCTGCCTTCCAACCTCAGTGTTACCTTCTCATCCTGTCAGTCATGGAGGCTGTAGGTGCAGGCTTGAGACCAGAGCCGTGATCTTGGCAGAGGTGGTTGAAATTAACTAGGAAGAAGCATATTGAGGTTTTCTCTTTTCTGCTCCCTGCAAATGCTTACATAAATGTTCCTTTCCAGGAAAGGACTGCTCTGCTCATAACTCAGATGCTGAAATTGTGGACTCTAAAGCTGAAAGTGGCCACCTGCATGGGAGACCCCATTGGAGACTGTGGAAATTGTCAACTGCTTTGATTGAAACTCAAAGTGGCAGTGAGAATGTGGTATCATTTATTGCACAACAAAAGTAGATGGAGACAAATGGAACTGATTGACTTGTTCCTTTTTCCTTTTAATTCTCAGCCTTACTAGTGCTGAGCCATTGGGCATGTTTCCACAGAAATACACTGTGCTCATCTGTTGATGGAGCCAGGAAAATATTTGCCTAATACTTCCAATATTGTTCATTGCTGTGCATTTTAGAAACTCTTGTTAACATTAAGATACTTATTTCTCACTTCCATACATTTAGTAGTATACCTACTATTATGGACATCAGGAAGATAAGTAAGAAAATAAAAATGATTAGATTGAGGAAAATGTTTAGATTTGTCCTAAAGATACTAAATAGCTTCTTATAATATGGGACTTGACTATTTGAGTTCTCCTGTTTCCCCAGTAGTATATGATATAAAATTAATTGGCTTTTAATCGAAGAATGTTTTAAAAAACTTAAAAGAGTAGATAATAATTAAAACTATCTGAAAGTATGTCAACTCCTGATATAAATCAGAATGTTGCTAAATATTCAATGCAAATCTTTCCCTCACATTTTTTTCACAGAACCTAGTTTTTTTATACAGAGAAGTTTTTGCCTTTCCACATCAGATTCTTAATTCTGTTTATTTGTTCTTTCTAAAAAAAATTAAATCTATGAGGGCCAAGAGATGTTCTGTTTTTAAACTACCATTGTTTTCCTGAAAAAAATTTAAAAAAACACACACACACAAAAAAACCTTGCAGATGCACCATGGGTGTGAAGTGCTGTGGACAGGTCAAAGGTAAAACGGGTGTTTTAAATATGTCCATGTACTGGTGCACAGAGCCCTGTCTTGGAAGTACATAGCTTTATTTAGTCAGTTTCTATGCAATGCAAAATGGTAGCATGTGTGATGAAAAGCTCTGAATCAGCCCTGTAGTCATCACATGGAAGGGATGCTGCTCTGGTTCTTTCCTGCTCCTTCTCTAGCTTCAGAGCCTCTATATTCTACGCAGAGCCTAAGTTACCAGATGAGACAAACGGAATGAACCAGCCAAGTTCATCCATGTTCATCCGTGTCTTCAGTGTTGTCAGCATCCTTCAGGAGGCAGTGTTAGGTGTGACTTTGTCTACCAACTATAAAATTACCTCCAGAATCCGGGCTCTGGTAGACTCAGTTGCCTTCTTTGGAGGGTTAAGCACCTTCCAGGAATGCTCAGATTTCTTATTGCTGTTCCTTTTTATTTGGAAGATGGTTTGGGGATGCACAGGACAGTCTTCTGCCCTGGTGGAACTGTATGATAGGAGGAAATGTCAGGGTATGTCAGCTCCTCATGTTGGTCCTTGACTCTTGCTGTGTGCTGAGGGAGTTTGCCTGACTTTAACCCTGAAGACTAGTTGACTTCTGTTCCTAAAGCTTGTGGCAGACTTCCTAAGTGTTCCCAGGGAGTAGTCATCATCCTATGCTGAATGTGTCCTATGTCACTTCACTTCTTGTGATGGTGTGGCCTTCCTCAGGTCTGTGAGTCTTGTTTCTGGCTGAGCAGCAAGTCAGGGCCTTGATTATGTATATTTTTGCTCCTGTCAAGTTGACCT